ATCAAGTCTACTCATAATATCACACCATAGGCATCTCTTTTGTACTCCTACTAAGTACTTGCATACATTTCCTAACCCCCATTTTAACTACTAGCACACTATATTTTGCTTGAAATATTTTTAGCATCTTACGCTGATTCACAATTTCAACACCACTGTAGTTTTATTGATACTAACAACTGCCTGCTGCACTGTCTGCTGAAAGTTAGACGCTTCCATTCCCTGACAGTTCCCCCCTATAGTTCCCTGTTGTAGATTACATGTACTTTACACAGTAACGTAAACTGTGAGCAGTAATTGACATGTGGTGTGACCGAGTAACTTAGAAGTCTGCCTCACACCTCTCAGACAACCTGTCTTGTTATATTACTAATAAATGAGATGCAAGACAAGGGCAATTTTTAATGATCTGGTAAAGAACTAACAAGCAAGAAAACATGGGATCGTGAACAAACTTGCGCACATCGTAGAGATTCACTGAGATGGACAGACTTCCAACACAGCAGCACTGATAAATGAGAGCAGTTTCTAAACTGTAAAGGTAAAAACAAGGAGTCATAAAATCTACCAAAGTGGCCTCATTAAACAATCTCCATTAACAGAATGTCAAAACCATTTAATCTCTCTTTCCTTTATCACAGCTTGAGGTAGGCCACTCAAATGAAATTTAAAACTTCTCAAATATTAAAAAAATTCAAGAGTCACCACTTAGGAATATATTTTTTCCTCTCCCTTAAGAGCCATGCACCTTCATGAATCGGGGAGGCAAACACTTCCCTCGACCATAAATTAGCTATAAATCACAGGTATTTTAAACGGGTTGTCACCGGGTACAATGACAAGTCTGCCTGGTTCAGCTATGCATGGCTGGTATGAGCTGCTGAACTACACGCTAGAAGGGTGGCCATTTCTTTTATATAAATGTTCATCGAGCTTAAACTTTAGCATGGGGTATCTTCAAGTTCAAGGTGGCAAGACATATAGGAATAAACAGATTAGGAAATTTTGCTATAAATCAACTGTAGATCTATTACTAGTAGTTAGCTTTAACGACATCTTTTATTAAAATGTGGCAAAATATGATCATTCAAAAGATAGCAATTTATTTTCCAGCCATGAAAATTCTATTGTTCTTTATACTGAGCACTGCAGTGGCATCTTAAAATAGATGTATTGGGTACAAAATTAATTAGTAAAGAGAAGTAAGCTTTCTGCTGCTACTTCTTATGTTTTTATTTTCATGTCTTTTTTTCTTTACTTCTATCTTGAGATTATTTTTGGCATGTTGATAGTCAATATAGCTGCAATTTGTTTTACACTTAAGACTGATCTCATCACATTTGCTGATAAGATTTGTTATCAACCCATCACATAGAAACGAGATCCATCAGTGAAACGTGAGTTTTATGACAAAATCATTGTTTCCAAGTTGACAAAAACTGCTGCTCTTTGATGTCAGCCATTCCAATTTTGACTAATCACTCTGCCTAGATCAAAAGAAAATTGACCTATCCTAAATGATCTGTACACTTTGGAAATGACTCTTTCTCATTTCAGCACTAATTGCTTGGATCATGTCAGAAATCCCTTCCTGTATACCACCAAAAAACAACTTGCATCTGGCATTTTGCTGAAACCACTACAGACAAGCTTCTGTTTCCCTTCTTTTCACATCTTTACCCTAGGTAATATATGTGTGCTGTGCTGTAAGATTGACTTTTAATGGCAATATACTATAATCACAATCAGAAAACCAGCTGACTTAATTGGGCCATGCTGTCCAATCATGATTGGAAACTGAATTGAGGGGCCCTTTTTTAAAAAGCTATTCCGAGTGAGTTAACGCAGTCATACAGTCTTCATTTCCTATGCCAGGGTACTTTCCCTTTTCACCTGCATAGTTGGCAGAATGTCTGCTGGGTCTGCTTGATCTTGAGATCAATAATTTCTATGGTTTCTTCTAGTGTGGACATTTTCACCTGTGAGTCAGCCATGAAAGTGGTTATGCAGAGCAGCTGACTGCATTAGGGCCACTCCCAGGGGGCTGCACCAATATCATTGTTCATGCTAACAAGTGTATTTCACACCAAGCATACCAGAATGCACTCAATGGGGCAATAAGGTTGACATACCAGGCAATATTCTCCATAGTAAAGTCAGCGTGACATTATTTTCATAATTACATTTTACTTTTTTTGCAGTAACAACATAATTGCATACAATAAAAAGTCAGTTAATTTTCCACTTTTGAAGCACCTTTAAACATTCAGCCACAATAGCTACTCAATTATTTAACCACTGCTGCCATTAAACCATTTCCCACAGCAACCAAAATCACTACTGCAACTTTGTCCGAATAAATAATGTCATAGGCCACTGGTTCAATTCAAGGCAGAAATGTAACACCAAGGTTCGAGAGAAACTGAGCTGAAAAAGAGGACACTCAGCCATTTTTGTCTGTGATTAACCTTGACAGGTGAACCGAAAAAAGTTCTGTCTAAAAAATGAGAAAGAAGAGTGGAAGAACAAGGTGTGCTATAATTTCTGTACACATATCTTAAATGAGCTGGAATAATAATCGGAGGGTGCTTCTGGCACACTGCTATGATCTCATTTTCTTTCACTGCACCTTAGCAAACTGATGGTGGCTGTCAAAGTACATATGAGAAATATGGTAGACAGCATTTAATTTTGATAAAAATTCACCCATCTTTCAGAAGAAATGGAGTAAACACGTTTATAATTTTAAAATGCATAATTTGTAAGTAAGATCTAAAACAATACCACACTTAAGAGAAAAAGATGGTGCATGTGATATGATTTAGACTATTTTGGCTGTTTAAAACATTAAGGGGAAGGGGGCTCATACACAACATGTACTTTGTATTCTCTGTCTGAGTTGTCTACCACAGTCATCAGATAGTCCCCAGGTAAATTACCAGGTAACAAGTGCACATCCAGACAGATAACCCAGATCTTATGGCCTCTTATCTACTGCTTGTGATGATACATCACTGCAATTTCAGTACAGCACTCATGCTATCTTCTGCTGGGCCCTGCTTATTACATACACATGCGCACATGCCCGTGCGAATAAAATATTCACTTTCTTAGTTCTAAATTAATATGGGCAACTTCTTAAAACTTAAAAAAATTAAAAAGGGATTATTTTGCATTACAAGTACATCCACAAATAATTGCTTTTAGTTTCTGTAGAATGATGAGTGAATAGCCAGAGCTAAATATCATGTTAGAGCTAGTTTGGAACTTGCATGCTATGGCATGACAAACAGAATAACATGGGGATCCTTGGAGACACGCTTCCCACCTTATCAATAGGAAAATAATCAAACTGAACTTTTCATGACTGATTGGCCATTGGAAACATTTGCCTGGGTGTGAAGTGAAGCTGATAGGTTGAAATTAGAAGGACTCTAATCATATTTATTACCCCAGAGGATGCAGTGGGCATCTTCCATTGTGCTCAAAGAAGTTATAGAATTTAAAACGCCAAAAGAACAGCTTTCAAGTGTCTGTTTCAACTAGTGTGACTTAAACAACTTAGCAGGTATAATACTAAACCTGCCAAATACCATTATGCTTTTAACGCTTTTGGACGAAAATCCCCATAACAAAGTCAGGAGGATCAGAACTTAAAACTACCGCCAGGGATATAGAACTTTGCCTGCTCAATACATCCTGCATGACTAGCAATCCGCCTTTGAATAAAGGCTTAAAGCAATATTAGAGTAAGTAAAGAGATTAACCCCACATCTTACGTTTCACCACTTCATCCAACTGTTTACCTAGACCATAACCTGCGATAGCTCTCGGGGAGAATCAGTCAATACCTCGGCATAGCTAGTGGTGTTGACCCAGGCCTCCACCCTTTGTTCGGGCCAAAGTAAAATTTTGCAAAAGACTGAACATTTATAAAAGCTCAAACTTTCTCTTTCAGTATAAGGCTAGAAAAACAAGGTTGTTGGTGTTGTAAGAACTTGAGCCTGCACAATTCAACTTATGGGGCAATTGTGTTCATCATCTGCTCTTAACAATAAGTTATCTTAGGAAACATCTACAAATATATAGGATTCTATAATATTTATAATTGTAATCTATGCTATTACTCAACATTTGCAGTATTGTATTACCTGGGAGTTTTGAGCTGAAAATGTCAAAGCACTCAAACATAGACATGTGATTTCTAGTTTTGTTGCTACTTACAGTCTTAAATAAGACTTGTGAAATAGCAGAGTTCACATTCCAAATTAATTTCTACTTTATGAATGAAGTTATTGCTTAGTTTGAAGGATCTGCTTGCACCTTTTTCAGCTACTATATCAAATCAGCACTTCTGACTTGCGTCATATATAATAATTATTGTAGACATGAAAAATGTGAGGAATTTTAACATAAACTTACTTTCTACCTCGTTGAGGTAAAAATAAACATGTATGTTTGTGCAGAGGGCTCAAAGAAATATGCTCTGCAATATACACCATAAAACATCAGTTCTGACATTTTTTTTCAATGATAATGGTGAAAATGTGCTTTAAACAATGACCACATTTCTTCAGACTGACCCATGCTCCTAAAAATCATAGTTTGCTATTTTAGGAAACATAGTTGAAATGGTCCTAATACTGACACAAATAATTTGCATCTATAGTTAGGCTCTATTCCCATAGATTTTAGACCGATCTATCCCTGTGGGGAGTCTCACTAGATTACTTTCAGATAATCCAACTAAATGTCCGTCCCGCCTACTTCAAGCTGTAAGGGGATAATTAACTTTCGTGTCCGCCCGGCTGACAGCTATTTAGCGTGAACCCCCAGGGAATTAGGTCGATCTAAAGTAGGTCGATCTAATCTATGGAAATGGGGTGTAAATCTTAACCCTTGGACTGTAGCCTATTTAATTAAATGTTAAAACAGTAACAAGGTGAGAAATTATGATTTGAATGGTGGGGGAGGGGGGAAATGCAAATTCATGTACTCACCAGACACCATCACAGAAAGAGTTCCGTTGGTTCTAACATCAGAATTCAGGCGAGAATCGAGACGTATCCATCCTGTATCTCTATCCAGGTGTAAGAGTCCAGCTTCGTTACCCGATGTAAAACGATAAGTCAGCTCTGCTGTCTCATCAGGATCGTAGGCAGGGACCTTGGCAATATATCCAGTTGGGAAATGATTCTTGTAGTTGTTGAAAATGATCTTAAAATGTTCCAATTGTGGTTCATTGTCATTCACGTCCAGCACACGAATTATGATGGTCGCCTCACTAAGCAATGTGCCAGAGTTGGCCCTTACTTTCACCTCATAGGATTTCTTAGAAGACTCATAATCTAATTCAGTGAGAGTCCTCAAAATGGCTGTATCTCCTGGACCATCAACAAGCTCGAACGCGTCGGCATCCATGCCTCCTCTGATCTGGTACGTGATCTGTGCATTAGTGCCATCATCTGGATCCCTTGCTCTTATGGTGCCCACCGTGGACCCTATTGGACTATTTTCAGGGATTTGTACCGTGATTTGGCTAGTCTCAAAGACAGGGGCGTTATCATTGATATCACTTACATCTACTGTGATGTGGACTGAAGTAGACCTTGGCGGGTCTCCTCGATCAATGGCATATGCAATCAGATCGTACTGGGCTATACGCTCTCTGTCTAACGGCTTTGCCACATAGATGGTACCCAAGGTTTCATCAATCATAAAGTCACCGTTTCCACTGTTACCCCCTTGAAAAGAATAACGAATCATTCCGTTTGATAAAGTGTCCGCATCTGTTGCTGAAATTTCAGTAACTCTCGTCCCTGACAACGCATCTTCTGAAATCCGCCCAGTGTAGGTGTCCTTTGAAAATATTGGAGAGTTGTCGTTGAAATCATCAATGAAGATTTCCATTTCAGTGACATCAGACTGTGGAGGATTACCTTTGTCTGTTGCTGTCACAGATAAAAAATATGATGGGTTTACCTCTCTGTCAAGTGGCCGCCTTGTGCGAATATCTCCAGTTGTTGGGTTGATTTCAAAGTCATTGTTATCCTGCAGGGTGTACTCTATTTGAGCATTTGTTCCCACATCATCATCAAGAGCAACAACTTTGTAAATACTTGTCCTGACGGGAACATTTTCTAACACCCGTGTGGAGTATGGCTCTCCTTGAAATATGGGTCTGTGTGTATTAGCATCAGACACTGCAATATTAACAGTGGCCGTGTCCTTCAGAGTGCCTGTGTCCTCTACAACAATGGTAAGAATATAACGATTCTGAACTTTATAATTCAAGGGCTGAGCAAGAGTTATAATTCCTTTCCCCATCTGTCTGGTGATTCGGAAAGTGTTCCCAATGTTACCACTTTCTATGGTGTAAACAAGGCCATTGTTCTGGTTGGCGTCTAAATCCGTTGCTGTCACTTCAGCGACCACACGCCCCAGCTGCAGCTCTTCCGACACTGTGATGTCATATGTGCGTGGATTGAACAATGGTGCATTATCATTTACGTCAATGACATTCACTCGCACACTAGCACTAGCCGATCTAGGAGGGGTCCCCCTGTCGCGCGCTTCCACCATAAATTCATACTCTGCTGACGTCTCTCGATCTAAAGCAGCGTTTGTGGTTATAACTCCCGTACTTGACTGTATGGCAATAGGCATGTTTGGAGGAGAATTTTTAATGGTATATATGATGTTTCCATTAGAACCAGAATCCCTATCAAAAGCCTGAACCTGGGTGATAGTGGTTCCCACAGCAGCATTTTCCTTTATGTTTTCTACATAGGAAGATCCTGGGAAAATGGGATCATTATCATTGACATCTTTCACATTGATCAGCACTGAGGTACTGTTTGACCTGCGTGGAAAGCCGCTATCTTGGGCTCTAACACTCAGCCTGTACGTGTTCACGAGTTCATAGTCAAGGGACTGTAGTAAGCGTATTTCACCATTGTTGCTATCAATGCTAAAAGCTCCAGTGTTTGAGCCAGTGATGCTGTACTGGATCTGGGAATTCGTGCCTTCGTCTCTGTCTGTGGCTTGTATCTGGCCGATGATGGGATCAGTTGAAGGACTGGTATTTTCCTCCACTTCAAACTGGTATGAGCTTTGCGAAAACTGCGGGCTATTGTCGTTTTGGTCTTTGACAGTGATCTCCACTTCCGTAGTTGTAGATTTTCTGTCACTGACAGAACCTTGATCTGTGGCTTGAACATTGATGGTATATCTAGAGGTTCTCTCTCGATCAAGACGTAGACGAGTGGTTATAATACCTGTTGTAGGATTGATACGAAAGGCATCATTAGGGCCACTTGGGTTAAGAATGCTATAGGCAATTTTTGCATTGTCACCAAAATCCTCATCAGTGGCTCGGACTGTGATTACTGGCGATCCTATTGACGTTGTCTCTGGGACCTCACGTGCATATGATGTACTCTCAAACACAGGGGCATGATCGTTAACATCTTGGACATACACTGTGAGTGATGTGGTCCCACTTTTCTGAGGCCGCCCATTGTCCATTGCTATGACTTGGAAATAGTGAGCTGGTATTCTTTCTCTATCTAACCTTTGTGTTGTTTTCACCTGGCCTGAGCTTGGGTTGATCATGAAAAGATCCTGACTTCGACCATCACGGGTGGCCAAGATGGAGTAAGTCAGCGTCCCAGCACTCTCTGGGTCTCCGTCTGAGGCCGTTATTGTGGCTACTATGTATCCCTCTTGTTGCTCCTCTGGTACATTTTTGACATAAGAGGACCGTGCAAAGCGTGGAGGGTTATTCCCAACTTGCCTCTTTAACCTTTGTCTGGATATCTCAGTAGGTCTTTTAACATTCATTAAGAGATCCAGGTGTGAGAACATTTCTTTTGTGGGAGATTCACTTTTGCGTAGCACAACTTCAATAGGAATGGAACTTGAGGACAGGAAACCTGAACACTGAGATTCTATAACCCCCATGAAGTGCTGAGGGGCAGCAGCAAGACATGCTCTCTGCACAGCATATAGAGAACCTGCTGAGCTCAGGTAAAAAAAGTTGGAATTAGTTTCACTCGTCTTGTATGATAGTCTACATTTTCGTAGAGAACTGGGTAAGAAGTTGGCCAAATTCAGAATGAACCGACTTTTTGGGAAACAAGCACCTGTTCCTAAATCACTACTGGCTATAATGGCGTGGGTATCATCCTCTCCTTTCTGCGATTTCCTCCGAAATTTCAGGTAATTATTCTCTGAGTGAACAAACACGTTTACAGGCATTAAAGTTAAGTTTGAATTTTTTAAATCTCCACTAGTCCTTGACTCAATGAATAAAGTCATTGGGTTTTGCATCATATCAAAAGATTTTGGTTGGGACTCAAGTCGTAATACTCCAGCACTGTTTAACGTGAAAAACTCACTGGTGCCTATATCGCTGAGCGGCCAGTCTAACCTGTAACTCCAATCCGCTCCAAGACTGGCATTGAACAGAACTGTTCCTATGGGTTCAGTTTCTGAGATATGTATCTCTAAAGCCCATGTTATCCACACATTGAGCATAAAACAGCCAAGAACAAGCAGGTGCCGATAAATCTGCGACATAATTGTACTGTCCATGGTGGCACTTGCAATCACAACCACACTGCCGTGGTTTCCAGGTGTACGTCGCAACCGTTTCCGTACTTCTTAACTCTACCACTACCTAGATTACAACCATTTTCACAGTACCGATCCCTCTATGTAAGATGTCTCATTTTCCATTACTTGATCGCTTTTGACTGTTGAGAAAATAACTTTTTGCAGCCCATTTTCTCCCGGTCCCACTTGTTTCACGTTCAAAATGGCTGCACCGCTTTACAATCGGCTGTTCTAGACTCCTCCCTCCGTACTGTCGTTAATACGAACTTTATCCTGAGAGAACGGCCAAAATGCATTTAGTGCCAATGAAACACACCCTTCTTTAAACCTTGACACATATTTTATCGGTACGTTTGATAAAATACAAATTGCATTATTTCGATTATGCATGCAGTGCAACAAGAGGAACAATACTAAAATATTTCAATCCACCTGAGATCACGTGACCAAACAAAAGCAAAGGTGTGTGTGTGATAAAGTAGAGTGAGTCACGGCCGCTCTGAAGCACTTAATCGAATGATCGATCAGCGTTTGGTTTCAAGCATTTTACTTGATTGATTGAGACGACTCAATCTTTATGACTCGACGTATTTTAATTCAAATAGATTCAAATTCGAATATTTTGGTATTTAAACTGTTTAAAATGTTAGCAAGGCAACCTATGTGCAAGAGCTAAGGTTACGGGTTTTAAAATTTTTTCGTTTGAGTCAGTCATAACAAAAAGTATTTTTAACGCCTTTCAAGTAAATTCAATCATGTTCTTTAATGTTCTAAATTTGTTTGAAATGGACGTCTTTTGATCAGTGTTCGATGTGTCAGACGACGTCCAAATAAATGCGGGAGAAATAAGTTCTGTAGAGGGTGATTGATGAAATCTTACAGAAGTTTGAACGTGCTAATAACCAATTGTATTATGTTTGCTATCCATTAGTCTAGATGCGTAGATTGCATGTTAGGCATGATAATAACAAGCCAACAAGCTGAATTTTAAACAAAATTGCAACAGGCCTACTCCCTCTAGGTTATTAGTATGGGTTTACTTTTCTCTTCTGCACTTACTTTGGACTAGCTAGACATTATAGTTCACAATCAATCACATTTGATTTGATTTACAAAGTTTTTGTTTCAGAATTGATGAATCTGCAAGGGGGACTAACGCTCATTACAGAAAGTGATGCATTGAGTAATCCTCAAAGGTAAAGCCACCAGTTCAAATGATCGCGTTTTCAGTGCTTTACTTATAACAATCAACGTTCAAGTTGGAGTTTTTCGTTTCTTTAAAACACTGTAACCTTATACATTTTTCTTTTTAAACTTTTATGTATCAATTTAATATTAAAAATTTATTTTTAAATCTTGTTTTTAAGTTTGTTGAAATCATTTATTTGTTGAATGGTTGCCTACAAACTGTGGATGTACAGTTATGCACACCTACGGTTAAGTACCTAGCGGTGCTTGCGATCATTTGGACGATATACTCCCCGTGTTTTGAAGTCAAATGTCTAAAGGCATAGGGAGTGGGAATGTTCATTAAAATAAAGCAATTTTATAGCCAATAAATCTCTCTTTATACCTCTCAATATATCGATTTCAAGATCACCTCACTAATATTTGGAATGTACACGTCTGAGACGTATCTATTATTCAAATTTTGAAACTGAGTAAACCTGAGAAAATAGCTTCCATATTCTGCTTCTTCTTCTTCTTTTTTTGAAGGACATTTCTAAACATATTGCATTTTGTAAATAAGATGAGCCGTCTCGCTGCGACGGCTGTAACAATGAGATTGAATGCATCGAGATGAATTCTCAGCTAACACAACCAAGAAGTCTTTCATACCATGTCAAATTACTTGTACTATAAGAGTCTTTTAACAATAATGAAACTGAAATATTTCCACCATTTTTTAATCGTCGTTAGGTGGAATTCCATTCTCTGCCAACTTTAAATGGGTTTACATGTGTTATTCATATCTATTATTTTGGAGAGATAGTCTGTGTTTCAATCTTGACTTTTCTTACGAGATTTAGTATAACACTACTTAAATACCAATTACAACTACTGCAGCAGTACATTGTCACATAAAAACAGTTTTGCCTAAAAATTTCAGTTTCTTTTGCAAGCTTTGCCACACAACATGAAGGCGGATTTTGCGGATTTTTTTTTTTCAGTGTGTTTGGAGAGGCATTTTATTAAGCGTTCCACAACTAAACCTATCTGTTTTTAGCCTTTTGGGCAAAGATTAATGAAGTCAGTGTACTGAATTTTTCAAAATACCATTTTCTTGTCTACTTGTACCATTTTCGTCTTTTGGCATTGGGCATATTTACTGATAATATTTGTTTTCCTCTGCCTTGCCCTTTCATTCTATGTCTTTTTCTATTCCACACCGATTTTCTACCCTCTTTCCTTTTCAATCTACAGCAAATTTTTCCTCTTTTTACTGTTATCAGACAAATATGGGCAAATATACACATACTTAATCTTCTTTCAAAGTCAAATTCTGTCAAATAGTACTTATCATGCATTATTTTGATATGGCAGTTAACATTTGAGTAAACTGCCAGGATGAATAAAACTATTTTGAAAGGAGCAACTGTAATGATGTTAATTAACCTGTTTTTGATGTCACTTGTCAATCATCCAGTGGAAAATCCAGAGAGATGGTGTCAATGAGTGCAAACACCTGGGGTTATTAGTTGATGAATAATACTAGGAAATGGACAATTTGTTTACTGCCATGAAAAGAGACAAGAGGTGTTTTTTTTCAGTGAAAAGTAAGTATTACAAATAGAATATTGAGCAATATCACGGATGGTACATTAATACTATGCCATATGAAAAGAGATCGAAATCCTTTATAGTTGAAAGTGTTACTCTGTCATTTTCAGCTGTATTTCCCAATATTTTTAACCGTGTGTGCGTCTGTGTATTTCCATATATTTGTATATAAATACATTATTTTATGCATTGCTTTGCAGGAAAGGTTATATGGTTTGATAAGTTTATGAATTTCAAATTAGATTTCTGATAGTTATAAATTAGAGTTTCATTTTTTTAACTCATTTGCCACAAACTAACAAGATGAGCCCACCTTTAAAAATTAAGATTTGAAATAACTTACAGATGTCTTGCAAATGGGTCATTTCAGAAATCATAGCTAAATGTGGAGTATCAGAAATTGAGAAAAAAAATTCCAAAATGTATATGTCATTTATAAATGCTTTCTTTGCTGCAACTGACCTTGCCAAAATAGACAGGCCACAATCAGATCAATTCTTGTTTTATTTAGGACAATGAATTTTTTGTTTATACACCTAAATATTATCATTCTAACTTTCCTGTTATTAGCATTAGTTTTTTTAATTAATAAGAGATCATTTAACTTGGGATCCAGGACTGAAAATTCCAGGATATTACTAAAAACGTGCAATTTTAAGAAAAAGAACAACAGAAGCATTAGTACTGACCATGAATTTATTAAAAAATGTCATGGGAGCATATTTCTTCCTTTGAAGTTATTTCAGGTTTAAGATGAAAAAACATGACAAGTAACAGTGAATTTGAATATAAAAGATCCATAAATAATGATATGTGAAACAGCATATCAGAACAGAAGGAAATAATTTATTTTTGAAAAGGTACACAAAAACGTAAATTGATCATTCTAGCCATGATTACAAATGTAATGCATTATAACAACTTCTACCTCAAATATCAATCATAATAAAAACAATTCTTGTCTACTTGTAATAATTCTAATGAAGTAGTTTAATTAATGCATCCAAAATATCACATTTTCACATTTTTACAAGTAGAAGTAGATATTTGGACTGGTACAACAGTCACTAAATATCTAAGGTGAACCACGAAATGAATCTTCAGTGCATATGTATATTGTTCATTGTGCTATTGGATTTTCTTTAGGTGAAGTACGTGAAAATTGTTTTGATTTTCTAAAACATTTTCTTCTGATCTGTTATTACAAACAACTTACTTTAGCACAACTGTTTAAAATATTTTAAAAAATGACAATAAAAATAAATAAATAAACAAATAATAATAGCAATCTTTCATATCACAGAAACATAATAATAATAATAATAAAGGCATCATTTTATATTGTGCTCAGACACTTATATCAACATACAAATCAAACAGTTATCAAAGTACAAACTGAAAAAAAAACAGTTGAAAATCCAGGAGAAGGCCTCAGTTAAATATGAACATCTCTACATGTACTTTGGTATCACTATGAATGGAACAGAACAATAAAAAGGAGACCCTACCCTCCTGTACACCACCCCCTCCCCCCGTTTTTGATCTTTTAAATTAATTTTAATTTTTTTAAGCAACTTTGTTAAGTCTTACATAAAAAGAGGGGAAACCTCTTCATTCCTGAATTATTCTACACATGTTTTTATCGTATAGTTTAATGTTTGGTCTCATTATGAAGTGTCACACATAGAGATTCCACATTGTCCAATTACAATAAAAACCCAGACAGAAGCACTTATTTTTGAATATTACACTCTGTTATGGCCAGCAAGATGACTATTTCCTTTCACACACCATCCCACAGTCAATACAATGCCTTATTGTTATGAAAAGCTGTCATATGTCACTTTTCTTTTTACTCCATACATAAATCATCACACCATCACTTGACACTCTGAGTTCTGGTCAGCGATGTCCGAATAGGTCTGGTCAGGTGTGCAGTGACCGGCTTGCCCATGTATGTCCCTCCCCTGTGGGGTGAGGTGTCCACGTGTCTGGTACTGTCCCCTTTAGCCAGGGGGCTCCCTGCAGACAGGGTAAAGGCTACCAGCTGGGTGGAAGTTGTGGGAGCATCCTGGTGAAGTCTGCATGGGAGAGAGAGAGATAGAGAGACATGCACATCTAAAGACATAACTACAGCAAGAAAGGCAAAGATGGGGGTCCATTAAGAAAAGCCACTCATACACAGCATAATGCAAATCAAGAAAAATGATTTCAATTAAACAAAGTATCACAGATAACAAATCACTTTCAATGATTGACTAGCAACTGCTTTGCTTTTATATCTAAAAGTAATTTTGAGGAATTAAAAAAAATACTTTGAACATGCATATTTCACTCTGATTGAATCATACTTTCTAAATACCTGGCAGTTTTAGCAATATAAATAATAGAAGTAAGGTCAGTTCATAGAGTCACCAATAATGTTGCATGCAGATCAATCAAGATAAAAAAGCTATGCAAACTGTCCACAGCGTACATGCAATAGAGGATCCTGGCAAAAATAGTCTTTCTAAAAATCCTTTTTAAAGTGCCCACTTCTACTGATCTCAAAACATAAGAAATGTGAAGAGGAAAAAACTGAAAAGGAAAGCCATACAAATGTTTTGTCATTCAAAATAGAGCAGCTGACATGAAGGGAAATTCGCAAGCCAGAAAATAATGCAAAAATCACAAGAATAAAACAACAATTCTCTGAAAGCACTCTAGAATAGGTCAACAGATCACTTGATCACAATGGGCTCCAATTGTTTTCTTGTTGCAAGACATCTGAAATATGTAACAAAAGTAAAATTCTTTAAATAACATGTATTATATTATATCCGAAACTTCCAAGCAATGTTTAAAATGTCGATCATGGCAGCCAAAAGGAAAAAAATTCCTGAAATGGAACAATATGAAATATGACAACAACAACAACAATAATAATTTAGTTTTTTTAGCTTTTTGGAGATACAATACAAATCTTTACCTCAGAAAATGATCAATAGGCATATCATTGGTGTTCACAGTGTCACTGGACAAGTTCTTCTCCACAAAAGACTTGGATGACTGGCTCCTTATGCTGACTGCAGTGCCCGGGTTGCCTTGGCGGTCTACACCAGCTCCCCCTATCTCCCCACCCCAAGCAGCACGCATGCCATGCTGACCCTTCAATGGACTAATAAAAGAAATGAAAAAAAATATAAGATTTTATTTTAAATCAGCCAAATACGTGAAAAGAAAAATTAATCCTGTATCAAAAATTGCATCTTCATCTTATTATTTTTTACAAGTCAATTTAGATTGTAGTGGCACTAATTTTTTAAATTCTCAATTTAATTATATGCTATAGCTCACAGATTATAAGTTGCCAGTTTTTTCAACATTGACATGTACAGCAATAACGTTTACTAACATTAATGCTGCAATACAGATAAGAGGTATGAGAATTGACTCGTGTTACACTTCTTACCTGAACCTGAAATCTTTTGGCAGGCTATGACCCTGTGTGGCATCTCTCATGGTTTTCATCAGCTGTTTCTGGAAGTCTTTCCTGGCATTGCCATAGCCATTGAATATGTGATCACAGAACAACAACTGGCCACCCTGATAGATCTGCAATTATCAAGTTATAGAATTCATGTAACTGGGCTGTCATGTTCCACAGATGAAATTTAATCATGATGTACTGCACCAATAGTCTGTGTCAAACTATTTTTTAGCCTACTGGCTCTTTGAGACACAAGGTTCTAAGAATATACAAGCCCAAAACACTTGCAAAATTTGCAAAATACTTCTGGTCTGGCTTCAAATAATACTGGTGACCGGAGTGGAACCAGTGGTTAATGACACACACTGTATCAATGTAATTCAAATACAATGTGGATCAGCATCATATTGAAAGGATAAGGATATTTGAAAGTAAAGAAGCCAGCACATATCCAATATGACTCTAAGGAAAGCACAAAGATGTAACTCCCTACCAAGAACATCCCTGGAACCACGTTGTGCCTGGCCAATAGAAGAGGCTGTGAGTGGTAGGAATCGAATGCTGCAGTTGCCACATCATACTTGAGAATGCGGTATGGATCATTGCGACACTGAAGACAGGGTCGTGTGCGGTTCCGGTTCCTCTCGCTGTGGATTTGCTCCAGCATAGCATCACATGGACTGGACTGGGGGTACCTAGAGAGACAGGGCAAAGGATGTCTGAGGAAACAGGGAGAAGGAGACATATATTATGCACATTCCTACATCACATTTTAATGCCATCTCATTGTGTGCCTTTCAAAAATCATCTATCAGACAGTTATTTGAAAGGATGAGGTTTTGGAATTAACAGCCTTGAAAACTTTCTTGAAGAAAGGCACACAAATCTTACATGAGCTGAGATTTATATCCATAAATTCTGAAAAGAAAAGACACCAAAATTAAGTTTCTATAACCTCTATTCTGAAAGACTTACAGAGATGAGCATATAGAGAGCACAATGAGTTGCCTGACTGGCACTTGGTTCTTGATGAAGTCCTCAAACTCCAGGTCTGTGATGTAAGGTACCCTGTGTCTATTACACCTGCAGATGGCTCTCTGATCCCCCATCAGCTCAGCATGCAGAGCAACTGGGCAAGAGTTCATGGGGACTGGCCAGTGTTGAAGAGGGCCAGTACTGGTCACCTTGGTGGATACAGGACGGACAGCCTGATGACTTGAATTTGGCTTCACCTTGAATGTGGCAGAAGGACGTGATGACCTGAAATAAATTGAATGAAAAGAACATTAAATACACACACACAACTAGCACATTGGACTTTTTTTATTGTATATGCCACAGCATTTTGCCATCTTTCACGGTCTTTTTAACTTGAAGTGCTGTTAGAGCACCTCCACTCAACAAAAAAGAAACTACAGACTTTTAATTAATTTGTGCATTATATGTTCAAAGCTTCGTGTACAATCGTCAATGTTTTAAATGGACATCACAGTGAAATATTCTTTTATCCACTTCTGCTGTTTTATATTGTTCTATTTTAACATGGCATACTCATTAAAATCTTAACACATCTATAAGAAATGTAGAGTACATACGCGCTGCCCAGAGATCTTGGAAAAGGAGAACTCCTGGCAATGGACTCCTTGTCTCCTGCCTCGCTGTCATCATCCTGGTCCAGGTCAGCATCACCTTCCTCGAACTTCACCTTGCTAGCCATGGCACCTACAGAGGGCTGGGTGGAGCGGGAACTGGCGGCACTGCTCAGACGCTCTTTCTGGTGACCTGTGGGGAAACAAATCAAAGAAACATCAGTCTTGTAGATTGAGAGTTTTTTCCTTTCTTTCTTTATTCCTTTTTTTTTCCTTGGGGGGGGGGGGCATACTTGGCCTCATTCATATACATGGTGGTTTTTTCTGGAGCCATAAGTAAGGTATTATCGGCTACAGTTGAGGTTTTTGTTCATTTACCTGCCATAGCTGACTGTGCCCTGTTGTCAATGTCTGCAGAAGGCAGAGGAGTGGTGCACTTTCCAACATTAGAAATCTTGTCAACAGCAGACCTGATGTCACGTTTCCTGGAGGCTGGAGTGTTATCCATCTTCTTCACATCTGGTGACAGTATTCCCAGTGATACCCGATAGTGCTCTAACCAGTCATCTGCTAGGTTTCTGTGGAACAGAATATATAAAACATCAATGATTGTTATTTTTTATTAGATGTATGTGGACCAAGAAATGAGTATATTTTAACAGCCTTGAAAGTCTTTTAAGGTATAATGAAAGCAATTAAAACTAATCATAAAAATGTCAATTTCCTTTATTAAACAGTTTAAACATAACTTAAAGGGATAACAACTTGCCATATGAGATTCACAATTCAACAATAAATACATTGTAAACAACACAAAGAAATAAAATAAACTCCATTTTACCACCAAAATGGCAGTTAGCACAATTACTTTGTAATTTGTGCTTGCCATCAAAGCACGTAGACCTTCACAGATGGCTACCCTCCATGAGATGAAATTATTACAAAAAGCATACTTAAAAAAAAAAAAAAAAAAAAAAACTAATCAACTAACTTTGAATGTTGGAATGGATTCATTAACCGTTAGTTAGTATGGGATCATGGAAACATTGTCATTTACCACAGGAAAACCTAATTTATGGTACCTTTCCCACCAAAATTAAGAGTTATTCCTATAAAACCTCTAATAGCTTCCTTTTAGTATACATAATCATAAACTTAAGCCACTTTGGTAAAAATGAATGTCCACTTCAGTAATAATACACAGTTCTGTACGGACAACAAGAGTTTAGGATATTAACTGGCTGAATACCAATAGCATGTACATGTACTTAAATGTATACTATCAATCACTTACTTGACTTTTCTATGCAATCTTGCAAGCTGCTGACCAGATACTTCATCATACTCGGCTTTCTCTGGGAATTCCAGGTATTTTCTCAAGTTACTGATTGGAGCAGTGTACTTGCCCTGAAATCCAGAGAAAAAAGTTAGGAAGAGAAAGGTAAATCACAAATCCATTCTTAAATGGGTGGGTTTTCAAGTTCTGATAATTTGTATTAAACTAGTTACCACCAACTGGTTCAACAATTTATATAAAATTTTATATAATTATAATATACAAAGCTGTCAGCTGTGTGTTCCACTCACAATAAGATGCTTAATAATAATAAAAATTGTCATTTTTATCAGTTTGAACATGCCTTACAGGAGACACTCCTCTGAAGCTGACCATAATTCCATCTTAACATGTCTCCACCCCATATAATTAGGCTATAACATGTATCCTTTTGAGAAGTTATGTATTTACACAAGTATTTATTAATCAATCAAACTGAAGAGTCACATGTAATCTTTCTCCCAATTACAAAATTGAGTGGGGTTTTGCAATTAGTCTTAGCATACAAAGACTATCTGAATTACTATATTTAAAATTTGAATAATACCAGTAAGTTAAATGTCAAATGAACAGGACTTTGGCACAAGGGCAATAATTTCAACCAAAGATTAATTTCCACGTATCCAAAAGAATTTTTCAGCTTTTACAAACCATCCACCTATCAAGTTCAAATTCAATAATATAACTTGCTATCAGGTTTGTTTAGTAAATTACTGAAGCAAATAGTATATTTTCCTTCCTTGCATTCCAAATTTGTATAAAGTGCTACTTTTTAGTCCTATATTACAAAGAATGTACATGCCTTTAGTTTTGACAGAAACGCATTGATTTAAAAAATAAATAAATAATTTCTACTATGTTGAAAATCTTGCCAATAGTCTTTTTATTATGAGATCAAGTGTTAGCCAACATAAACAATGAAATCACACCATCAAATTGAGAGAGAGCACCATATTTCAATAATTCAACAACTGCATATATTCACATTAAAAAAAAAAAAAACATACATTTAGTGAATCCAACAACAGTTTCAGTTAGGTTAACTTTTGTTAGTCAATATAATTATACGTGACTTCAAACAAAAGACAGTAAATACACTGTATATGTGGCGTGACACACCTGAAAACACTGGTCAATGTTAAGTAAGCGTTGAGGCAAATTATCCTGTGACTATCATAAAGCATAATGTTACTGTTGTTGGTGTTATTGTTAAATTGTTAGGTTATGTCAACAGCTACCACCAGAAGGAACATATAAGTACATGTACAACATGCATATATATATTTGTAAAGAGCTGAAATAAACATGGCCATAGAGGGTAATGGTGTGTGTGTGTGTGTGTGTGTGTGTGTGTGTGTGTGTGTGTGTGTGTTTTGTTTGTTGGTTGGTGGGGGAAGAAGCCAATTCTTTTTGACACTGTAATAACTATTTTCTAGTAGGAAGTTTGACTGAGTTATTATACTTTACCATCTCTGCAATGGGCAACATGTTCAAATGACGCAATACAAATAACATTGCACCATGAGGAAAACAGTACCCCTGGTACATTGTTCATTCATGTGATTGAAGAAAAGCACAGTACATGTAGCTGGTGAAGAATGCTGTTTTTATCTATGTGTAACACTACTTCTGAAATCTGGTAGCATACATTTTGTATAGCAGTGAGAAGAGATTTTTACGAGAGGATTCATGAAATAAAGTTGATGGTTGAAGTGATAGATGTATCCTAAAGTGAGCTACTTACTGATGCTATTAACTCAAATGCTGCCTAAAATAAATATTTGGATGGTAAAAAATGGATATGTAACTATGACCTTAAAGTATATGATATTTGTATATGTAATTAAATAAAAAATTTCAAACCAACTATCGATTAAAACTACACAATCCCTGTAAGACCTTAACACAGCAGATCAAAATTAATAAAATTATAAAAAATTTACCAATTTTTATCACTTAAGTATACCATATCCAAACATTTTCCAAAAAAGATGAACTATAATTTCAACATCTGAGTTCTAAATGTCTCATTTTTACCATCATTAGTGAAATTTGAGAGTCCAATAAATAAATAAATAAATTAATTAATTAATTAATAAGTTGGAATCCAAAAACTGATTTACTATTTGGAATTCTGTGAACAATTTTAGTATACCTTGGTGATAAGAAAAATGATGACATTAAAAATTTCCAATTTTTTGCTATGTGGAGGTCTTATGCTTTCATAATCTTGCTAAAATATAAATGTAACAATTATCAAACTGTCTTCTCAGCTCATGAATAAGTCAAGCAGTTTATTTTTCATATTAAGCATATAAAAGCCATAAAAAAAAAACCCACAACCTATGGCTATTCATGCATTTTAAATGTCTACTCTCTCTGTTATGTTTTTCCTGTAACCATATAAAAGTACAATGCTGTTAGATGAACATCACTGAACATACAAATCTTAGTTAAACTGTGCTCTGTCATATACATATAAACCAACTTCAGCACTTCAACCAATTCTATGCTGATTAAACAATCCGTAGTCAATTCAACACTGAATTGCATACCAGCAAGCAGTCACGCATACCTTGGGCTTCATCTGCTTCTTTGCTTTCTGTGGCATCTTTTTCTTTGCAGCTGGATTCTCATTGGCTGCCAAAGAGCTGAGGTTCAGACCAGACATCATTTGACCCTGAAATAATGATTTACATGGCCTTTTACATATCTGAAGGTTGTGAAAGGAATGCTTTATAATATGAATTATTGAATTCTGGGTAAGAATAATGAACTTCCCAACCAATTGGTGCTTTGGTTGTTGAGTGTCTTTTAAGCCAGAGCCTCATGCTGACATTACTCTGGTTTCCCAACCACAATGACTTCACTTTATAATATAAATGCAACTGTAAGTGGTTTACAATAAGTGTACCCTATCTGCAATGCAAGCACGCCTTCAGTCTCTTACCAGATCCTCCACCTCTGCAGCCCCAGATTGCAGGCCCACTTTAAACTTGACAGTTTCCTTGTTGGCACTAAAGAACAGCTCCAATTTGGAGTGACTGGAGCAGCGGAAGGTCAGGTTGTTATTGAGCTAAGGGGTGTCATGAAAAAAAAAGTGAAAATACAATTAATTAAAAAATATTTAGAAACTTGGTTAAGGAAAATCCCTACTATATTCTATTATGCTGTACAAGGCAATCGTGACAATACACAACAACAAGTTCAGCTAAACAGGATTCAAGAACAGACAAGGATATTTCACTATTCCCTAGAATATATCTCACTTTTTACAGGATAATATAAAATTGCTACAAAATGAATTATCATACTTTATGAGATCTTTATTGTAAATATAAATATAAATTTTAAAGATATCAAAATGTTGGTCTCTCCATTTGGTACAGCAGAGGACTTCATCCTTTAGCATGTACCTGAATAATAACTGGAATGGGCAGCTTTCCATGGGCTGGTGGCCACTGCCACCGCTTGATGACAGAACCATAGGTGTCACTCATGCTACCACCTTCAGCATTGGCAAGAAATCTAAAGCATAAAGACAAATAGGATTGGGAGCTTTCATATTTTAAATTCATTCATTAATTAAATAAAATGTTTTCATTCATCAATTTTGTTTGATTTATATAACTATTATTAACCTTGTAAAAAATAACTTTACTTTGCTTAATTTTCTTGTTTTGGCAGCTTTCTTCCCTTTTTTGTCATTCTCTCTCTTTTTTCAATCTTCATTTCCAAGTCTATCTCTTACCTAACTACTCCATTGGGATGATAGCAGGTAGCATTCCCCTGAGGAGTAAAGCACCCAAGCATGGTCAGCTCAGCATTGTCTTCATATGCCACAGTGTAATATGTCTTCTTCCCTTCACTCTGCCCTGCCAGCGTGGTCACCACTGCCATCCTGCCAGATGGGTAACTAGCACAGGGGTCAAGGAATCAATAATAATAATAATAATAATAATAATAATAATAATGATGAAAATATCAATTGGCAAATTTTTACATATTTATATGTGCCTAAGTGGTTTTATTTCTTCTTTTTTTCCTCTGAGTCACTTTTTTATGCATTATGTTCATAGAGCACTGACACGTGTGTAGAATATTTTGTATAAATTTTTCATAAAACTGTATGTGTCAGTATTGCAGAGTCTGAGCTTCAGATAAGAAGCAAGTCAACTTCTTCACTTTCAACTTTCCACATTTGCCCCTCTATCTAACAAGCCTTCACATGGAGATTTTAAAAATGAAGACCATGGCATGCATCAGATCTGAGCCTGAAGATAACACTGCAAAAAGGATACAACAATGTTGTTGAGCCATCAGCCATCGAGCACATGTACATCTTCCTGGTTTCCTTCCATTCTAACACAGGGACTGTAGGCAGGAATGGCTGGGTGCTAGATGCCCCAGAAGACACTCCTTTGCTGCTTCCCTTACGCATTTTATTTATTGCCTCTTTCTTGGTGTCTCCATAGTAACGGATAATACTGGGCTTATCCAAACCCATTTCTTTCTCTTTGATAAGTTGCTCTTTGCTAAAATCATAAATTGTTTTATATAAGTATAATTTTTGGCATTTTTTAGCTTTATAATGTGTTATTTATATCTAACATTTACATGCAATACTAATAATATAATGCTGTTGAAGAAATACAGAAATATACATAGATCTACTAGTATCTGCCTTGCTATATGGATGATTCAGGATGAAGGGGTAACTTGTATGTGTTCCAAACCCCCAGCAAAATACCCAACATGAAACACACTTTTCTCTCTTCGTGAGAAGGCACTGCAGGTAAATCTGGCATTTTCTATAGAAAATGAAAATAATAAAGGATTCCACGGTTTTCCAAGCTCACCCCTGTATCCTGGCCTGCTGCAGTCTGTGCGTGGCCCACATTAGCACCGTCTCTTTCTCTGTGTCAGTTTTGATGTCTGGGTGCACAATCCAACCTGAACAGAAAGAAAAAAATTGAGGTATATCAATAATAAGATATCAAAAGTGAGTGGAAAACCTGTTTTGATAACAAAAACTGAAATAAACATATCTGGAGTTTTTTTGTTTTTTTAATTTTTTTGAAAAGTTATATTTTCTAGGCTTCTTGGTTCACTTCAGTACAGAAATGCTATTCAGCAACAACAACATGCTGACAGTTTACTAAACTTACCCTTTTCATCACACTGCTTATTGGAAAGCATAAACTGTATTGTTGAGACAGTATATGGCTGGTTTGTGACAGCTAAAATGTTGAAAAAGGCTCTAAATTACTACATAAAATTTTACATTGACTAAATATATGATTTACTCTAAATTCATGTAACAAGCACTATTTCAAAAATAAAATTCATATTACATTTCTATGGTTCATTAGAATCCAAAATTCATAATTTTCTGAACTGATTTTTAACAGTTAAAAATAACCAAATAATCAATTCATAGCTTTAACACTTGATGCAAAAGCAAAGCATGCAAATAAGCAGTCAGATAAAATAGCAATAGCAGTAGCTGGTGACAGCAGTCCTCCCATGATCGACTTACACTTAGTTTCTGAGGGCGCCTCTACCACTGAGGTGGCACTCTCTTTTGGCTGCTGCTTTAGTGGAGGTGCACTAGATGGAACATTTGTGACTGCAGGGAAATTGTGAGAAGAAATAAAAAAATGAAGAAAATAATAATAATAATAATGTGCAATACAGATTTTGAAAGGATCATTCAATGTTTCAGAAGTAAATAATACACCCTAAATAATAAATAAAGAAGTTCAGACTCTGAAATTCCTAAATGAAAAGCCATAAATCAAACAGTGATATACTAGATCAGGTCAAACTAAAGAATGCATACAAAATAATCAAATGAAATGAAATAAAGTAATTTTAACTTTTTTTCTTTTAAAATTTGTAAAATCATATCAATTACTGAAATCCTATCCAATATAACTGATTTTTGGGCTTTAATGGTTAATTCCCTCTTGATCTTTTCCTAACATTTGCACTTTCTTTGCTATTTTCCAAACTCATCTAATGAATAGGCCATAATTTCAGAACATTGCTTTGTGCAGGACCTGCTGTGTAAATTATCAACAAATGCTTCTCATGAGAAAAAGGAAAATGAAAAAAAAATCTTGTTTCCTCTTTTCAAAGAAAATGCCCTGGTCAACACTATTTGTTAACAGGAGTAAATCTCTCATGCTGGCAACCCTGAAGCATACTACTGTAAGTACTATGGAACATCAATACATCAAAACCTCGATCGTACTCAAATATCCCCAATCCAAGTACACACATTTAAGAAAGCACATGCTTGTGTGTCTGTGGAATAAATATTTGACAATTCTACATTCAATGATCTCTGGAAATATAGATAAGGCACTTTCTTGGTGTTGATTCAAATGCAAATATTTGTTATCTTTGGAGCGGAACAGAATTGTGTGTGACTGTGAATGATTATTCAAGCAACTGCTCATGGCAAGTACTTCCAAAAGTCTCCCATGAACATAATGCAAATAAGATTTAAAATTAAACACATCAAGTTAAATGTCAACCAAATGATGAATTAACTGTGCAATTACACTGGAAAAGATATGCCCCTATTAGTGAGTGACCAGTATTGTAACCGAACTGGCAAATTAACATTGAGAATGCCATTGAAAATAAATAATTCATCCAAGTATGTTGAGACCATTTATATAGCAGTAAATGTAACTAGTGCCTAAAGAAGACCTGCGCACAGTTTTTAAATCATTTCAAAACATATTACATAGAGCAGTCAGGGTGAATGCACATTATTTCTCAATTCATGCTTGAAAATGATCTCAATAAAGCTATATAAATTTCCAACAAATTATATTCATCAAATGAAATGAGAGAGTTTGTTCTCTGTCTTTCACACAAGTTGTTTGTTACCCTAGGTTAAGATGTCTTTTGTGTGGCATGTTTTTAAAGGATTTATATTAATAAAGCCACTGTGAATTAAACTCTGGGTTTGTTTTGAAGCAGAACATTCAGCCAATTGTAATGCACTATTTCAATAAATATATTTTGATTCAAAAACCTTTCATCTTTTAAAGAAGCAAATGTGGATTATATTTATATTTATTCATACTAGGTACAGTAGGAAATTTGTTTTCAAAAGAGGTTTGTGATGCCTTGTGAAAAGCAAATTGGAGTGCTTTAAAATGCATTTAATAATGCAAACAGGAAAGTAATGAGAAACTTTACNTTTTCTTCCTTTGAAGTTATTTCAGGTTTAAGATGAAAAAACATGACAAGTAACAGTGAATTTGAATATAAAAGATCCATAAATAATGACATGTGAAACATCATATCAGAAAAGAAGGAAATAATTTATTTTTGAAAAGTACTACACAAAAACGTAAATTGATCATTCTAGCCATGATTACAAATGTAATGCATTATAACAACTTCTACCTTAAATATCAATCATAATAAAAACAATTCTTGTCTACTTGTAATAATTCTAATGAAGTAGTTTAATTAATGCATCCAAAATATCACATTTTCACATTTTTACAAGTAGAAGTAGATATTTGGACTGGTACAACAGTCACTAAATATCTAAGGTGAACCACGAAATGAATCTTCAGTGCATATGTATATTGTTCATTGTGCTGTTGGATTTTCTTTAGGTGAAGTACGTGAAAATTGTTTTGATTTTCTAAAACATTTTCTTCTGATCTGTTATTACAAACAACTTACTTTAGCACAGCTGTTTAAAATATTTTAAAAAATGACAATAAAAATAAATAAATAAACAAATAATAATAGCAATCTTTCATATCACAGAAACATAATAATAATAATAAAGGCATCATTTTATGTTGTGCTCAGACACTTATATCAACATACAAACCAAACAGTTATTAAAGTACAAACTGAAAAAACAGTTGAAAATCCTGAAGAAGGCCTCACACCAGTTAAATATGACCATCTCTACTTTGGTATCACTCTGAATGGAACAGAACAATAAACAGGAGACCCTACCCTCCTGTACACCACCCCCTCCCCCCGTTTTTGATCTTTTTAATTAATTTTAATTTTTTTAAGCAACTTTGTTAA